CAGCTGCCACCAAGTGGCCCTGCCTGAGCCACAGGTGTCACCTGCTGGGGCATTGGCATGGCTGAGCTGGCCTGGCTGAGCACAGGTAGGTGTCCCTTGGGCTGTTTGGCATTGTGGAGGTGGCATCAAACCCTGCAGGTGGCACCAAGTCATTCAGGTGTCACCAAGCCATGGTGGTAACACCAAACCCTGCAGGGGACAGCAGAACTTGCAGGTGACACCAGGCCATGGAGTGACACCTAACCTTGCAGGTGGCACCAAAACTTGTATGTAACTTCATTGACTGCCACTGACAAAATTATACATTTGCTGCTACAACAAGCAGATCCCAAATTAAATTAAATTCCTGGCTGGGCAGGGTGGAGATCTCCTGGCTACTCCAGGATGAGGCTCCCAGTGGAGAAATGCTAATGAGATGCAATTAGATTAATTAACTATTTAGAGGCAGGACTGAGGGGGGTGAGCAGGAAGGATGAGCTGAAAACAAAGGTGTAGTATTGTCTATCTTGTCTACAGAGCTGTAATGTAAATCCCAGCTGGTGCTGGACCCTGCTCTGGACAAGCAGCTCAGGTTCACCCCTGTTCTCTCTGTGAAAGGTGGGACAGAATGGAATTTGGCCCTGGGCAGTTAATGTATTTGTGGGGTTCCCCTATGGCAGGAAGGACTAATGATTCTGACTCCATGCTCTCAGAAGGCTAATTTATTATTTTAAGATATTCTATTCTATTCTATTCTATTCTATTCTATTCTATTCTATTACATCACATTACATTACATTATATTATTATGTTATATTACATTACATTGTATTACATTACTTTATATTACATTGTATTACATTACATTAGATTACATTGTATTAATATTACATTGTATTATGCTATACTAAAGAATACAGAAAGGATACAGACAGAAGGCTAAAAAGATAATGATGAAAACTAGTGGCTCTCTCCAGAGTCCTGACACAGATTTTCCCAGATTGGACAAAGAGTGCAAACAACTCACAACAGAACTCAATGAAACAATCACCTGTGGGTAAACAATGTCCAAACACATCCCACATTAGCAAAACACAGGAGAAGCAAATGAGATAAAGATTGTTCTCCTTTTTTTTCTGTGGCTTCTCTGCTTCCCAGGAGAAAAACTGTGGGTGAAGGGATTTTTCCAGAAAATATGACAGTGACACAGGAAGTGGTGCTTATCGTTGTCTGGGGTCTGTGTACAAATCACAAACAGGAAGGGGCTGCTCTGGAACTTGCACTGAGCTGTTATTCTAGACAAGCGTTAATACACAGACCATTGGTCTACTTGTCTTTACTACTTTTTAATTATTTTTTCTGCTGACCTATCTCATGG